GTTTTCCTTTACACTTTAAATTCAACTCTATGTTAACTGCAGTAAGACAATTAAAAGTGGAAAATTCAGCATTCTGTTCACATATATATCTTCACAATACTCGGAATTATGCCAAATATTGTACAATTATCAAAGTAATACAGTGTTGAATATATATTATTGAATTTGAAGGGGTATGAGAATTAATTCACCTACTAGTGCGGTATGTAGGTACAACGTCAATAAGGGGAACAAGGAGTTTATTTCCCATTTTGTTAATACGACAAAATTTCCGTAAAAAAATTCAGTACAAAACATAATTATTAAAAAGTAAACGCGTCAATTAAGGCCCAAAAAGAGAGTGTAATCGGAAAAAAGAACCATTTTCTTCTTTGAGACTATTTGCAGTATAATTACGATGTTAACATATTAAAAGTTGCCGGAACAATTCGGTGATTCGGGTACTGCGAAGCACATAGCAGTTTTTTTAATTTTATTTCTTTAATTTCGTGTCCGGTAACACAGGCATTAGCGGATAGAGGGAAAACTGTTTAATTATTTAAATTCTTCATAGTACTATTAATTCCTGTAGCAGTAGAGCCCCTAGTAAAAGAATTCGTCTAAAGAAGTACTGCGACCTTACCTATTTGTGAGTAATATTGCCTTTTGATTTTGAAGGGTTAAGGGTTTTGGTGAAATTACGGACACAAGAGACTTGTCAACTTATGTCTCAGGGTGACTGAAGGCAATGGCAGTGCCCTTCAGATGTTTGTAATTTAAAGCACTGAGTGGCAGTGCAAGTGTTATGGACAGGCGCCTACCACCAGGCGTGTCGCTTACCACCAGGCGCACCACTTGTTCATCCCGTCACTTGGTGTCATAATATTTTTATAATATAATAATCTCAAAGGTTTCAAGAAGCCAGACAAGATTTTGGATAATAATTACAGTCTAAATTTTGAACCCTACGTATAAATTCATTTATAACACGTTGCTAACGCCGGTTACGAGTGAGAAGGCATTGCAATGGTCCCTTGTCAACCAGACCTTACCCTTCTCCGAATACATTATTAGTGGTTTTAATTACTTTCTTGATTGTCAAATACTTATTCGGTATACAAATTCAAACCCGCAAGAAATCTTCTGGTACTCAGGCGTCGTAATATGTAACAGGGTTCAGCGGTTAGTTGTCCAAAACGTAGTAGAAAAGTCACAAGATCGGAAGTAACAAAGTTCTTAGAAAATTAATCTATTTTTCGTCATACATTTGAATTCGAAGGCTTGGGATATTTGTTGCCAAAATACATCTTTATTATTATTATTATTATTGATACTTTTTTTATAAAATAAATAACCGACTTCAAGGTTTCGTGGAATCGGTTTACAGGAAGTAGGCCAAATCCAATGAACCGAATTCACCCCCTAATTTACCATCCTTATAGGTGGAATATATTCTTCAAATTTAAATAAGTCTACTACTGAGGTACCCCCTTTGCAATAAAAAAAGAATCATCGAAATCGGTTTACAAATGACGGCATAATCGCATTGTAACATACACAAAAAAATAATAAAAATTACATTCGTATTAAGAACCTCCTCCTTTTTTGGAGTGCGTTAAAAATACAAAACTGCATTGTCACCTGACTGAGCGCATCGATGAGCAACGCATTTGACCATGCAAATATAAAATTTGAAATTTCTGTTTTTAACCGACTTCAAAAATTTCGACTGTATCTTTTTGTAGTATATGTTTTGTACCTATGTTACGCGATAACTCCAGCAATTGTGAACCGATTTTGGTGATTCTTCTTTTGTTGGAAAGAGGGTACCTCAGTATTGGTCCCATTTAAATTTGAAGGAAATATTTCGCTTCTTAGAGTGGCAAAGTAGGGGATGAAAATGGGTTCGCGCACTTTCCGATAACCGATATCAATAAAACTTGGCAAACATATGTTCGTATATTCCATGAACTTTTGAGGTCTTTTTTTGTAAGAAAGTTACAATTATTACATTAAAGTTCATATTTACTAGTATTTTATGTATCTGGGAATATTTGTAGATGCTCACGTATTCTGCGGAATGCGTCCGGCCACCGTGAAATGCGCACGTCTGTGCCCAGTCCCTTTTGGTTGATCAAAGGAGATAACAAGTTGAGGGACGTTTCTTACATAAATTACTATCAACTTGCAAAGTTGTAAGTAACGAGCATTGTTTGTAATATGGTGTTGTAGATCAGTATTGGCTGCATTCGGTTATTTCAATTAAAAAATAAACCTTCGAAAAATAAAAATAAAATATAACAAACATTATATGGAATGTAATAAATTTTAACAGGAAGTTATCCGTTAGTTCAGTTTTCACATTGTTTCAAAGGGATACGAAATTTTTATTCAATAATTTGAATAGTTTTAAATGTATGCTACTGGTCTTTTGTATTCGAGTGCAAAGATTGGTGATCTAAGTGTTGATATTGTTATGATATCTATTATTTTTAATAGCAGTAGAGCTCCTTGTGCAAGCGTTCGCCCCGAGAAGTACTACCACCTTACTTGTACCTACCGCCAGCAGTAATGCTCACATTACTGCGTTCCAGTTTTGAAGGGCAAAGGCTTGAAATTTTTAATTTCACCAACGTGAAATTAAAAATTTCGGGCAAATAGGACTTGTCAACTTATAGCACCCCTCATGGAGAATGGCTTAAGTGCAGTTACGTCAAAAATGTTTATTGTACCATTAGATACACAAAAATACAACACACATCCTCTCCAATTCTTGTAACTTCATCGCGTAATGTTGTAGATATTCTTATTTATAGATAGTATGTAGATATTATTCTTGTAACTGTATCTCCAATTTCTACAATATTACTCGATAGAGTTACAAGAATTGGAGAGGATGTGGGTGCTAATATCTGTATCTAATGTACAGGATGTAAAAATATTATATAGCTATAATAACCGCTAATCACAACAACGTAATAAAGCGGACGCAATAACAAACTTTACACATACATACTTTTCATGCTCTTTTCCCATCGGCGTAAGCAGAGACCACAGCCCTCCACTCGTTACAATCCTAAACACATCTTTCAACTCTTCAATACGCATCAATGCTTTCAAAAACGATTTCGATTATCAATTAAGGTACTCTTGATCTGGCTTGTCTTTGAGACGTTCTCAATACGGTCGTGGTAAGTTTAAGAGTCTATACTACCTCAAATAGCTTTGGTTGATACCGCATAATAGTGAAAATGTAGAATAAATCACTTTGGAAAAAATATATAGTAAAATTGAAGAAAAATTTTCGAGATAGAAAAAATCAAGTTTGATTGACCTCGAAATTTCACAAGAAAACTACTGTATTCAATGAGTACTTTACATATACCAATGACCTTTTTTTTATCAACTGAACTAAATAGAATACCCACTATACGACATACATTTTTCAAATTGCTTCAATTTCGTTTGTAAAAAAAATTATTGTGAAATAAATCCAGCGTCTCTGCCGCCTGACTTAAGCAATCTAAACCATATTAGTACGGGAAAAATTTTAATTCGTGCTGAGGTACCGTACTGCGGGTTCGAGGAATGGACAGGTCATAAAATGGCAGGATACAAAGATGCAGGGACGTATTCTACTCCTTCGATGGCTGGTGCGATGGCGGCAATGTGACAGTGGCACCATTTCAAATAGTTCCTCTGAGCAATTCTCGTTATACAGAAGATAGGCTACGTAGAGAGAATCAACCTCTCCATAGACTAAGGGACTCCGAACCGTCTGTGAGTTTGGAACAGTCGACTACACTAACAGCCCGTCGTTGGCAGGAGTCAAGTGGGAACTTCATATGGGATCGCCTGTGCTTTGTACACCTTTAGTTTATAATAAAAAATAATACCATCAAACACCATAGGTTCACAAGTACAAGCAAGCTGCGTATGGCCGACATTACCCGTCATTGATAGCAAGCAAAACTAACCCTTATGGTGGTACATATCGACTTTGCTGACAGTATAACTACCTAAGCCTCAATTTTCGCTGTCCCCAATCTTTTCAATCAAATCTGGTTTTAATACCGGAATAATATTTCAAGACCTGTCATCAAAATCTTTGGCATTATTGGAATGACATTGTTTCACTAGTCTTCACCGGAATTGATATTGCAAGTCCCAACTAGTTAAATGAGTTTTGGATAAATTATGAAGCAGTAATTTAAGTCTAACTCCAAGAGCTTGACCGTAGTTTGAAAACGATAATTTTCAAGTTGTAATTCTAAAAAGGATTTTGATAGTTTGTCCAATATCTAGCTATCTGCAGCCAACTTTACTATTTGTACTATATTATTTACATATTATATTTCTTTGTTAAAAATCTGTAATTTGTTTGTGTTGTACAATAAAGTATTTACCTACATACTTATTTAATGCACGAGATGGTTTATAAACTTAATGGGCGTAAAATATATTAAGTTTTTATGTTTTCGCAACTGAAACTAAAGCTGTTTTTGCCACTAGAGCCTGCTGTGACCGTGTAACTAGTGAAGAGTCCGAAATGTCGGTTTTGTTTGAAAAAATGTTGCTACAATAAAAAAAGTTATAAAATCGTCTTAAACATCTTGTTTATTTAAATCATATTGTTTTTTCAGTCTAACAAATTGCTTTTACCTTCGTAAATGAATCATAAGACTAATGGCATATTATTAATTGTTTATTTATTATTATTCATTTATAAACATTACTGTATCAATGGAGGGACGAATTGGAGAAAGACCTCCGGGCCTTGCACGTCAAATACTGGCAGGAAAACGTACAAGACAGGGCGCGCTGACAACAATGATGCTAACTCATTTCGGAAGCAAGATCCGCTTCGGGTTGCTGAGTCAGCGGAGTAAGTAAGTATAAACTATGTTAAGTATCGCAAAATTCATTATCTACCAAACGTAATGGGAGAAGAGACACAGCATAAAAGAGTTATAGATATTGGTAATGGTATTGTGAAGAAAAATATCAATTGTAACACTCACCTGTCACTAATACTAGCTGGTAATATGCTATCAATAAAAATCGCATTACAGTTCCCAACTCTCTGGTAAGTGTCCGATCCAGAACTGTACACGTCATCGGTATACCGATGATTGGTTAAGAACAAGCCAAGATCTTCGTTGCATGGCCTTTCTATCTCTATTAGAAGAGGACCAGTTGCCAACTTGACTGATTCCATTATCGAAACGTCGTATTCTATGGTAAGGCTTGTCACTTGAGGACAATTTTGTAGGATTTGGTGGACTTCAGATAGAGTCTTGTTTGTCAGGGATATCTGTAAACAAAACATAACATTCTTACATTAGCGTTACTGTACCTCTATGAAAATGTAATTTATATTAAGAAGAGTAGCAATTTTTAATGAAAAATAGTCACAAACATTAACAAGAGGAATAAAAATATACTACTTAGCTGTTCTTTACAGTCATGTTCACAAAGTCACAAATTCATTTAGGGGGCAATGTGTACGATTCTCTATTAAGATACCGGTTGATATTCACAATTTGCCATTTACGAGGTTTAAACTATAGTGAAACAAAAACATTATGCTGAAGGTTATTTATACAGTTTCTGCGTATTTGGATGACAAAAATCTGTGGGAGTGACCCATTTAGCTCTTGCAGATAGTCTCGATCTAAGATGTTTAAAATAAACATGGTAAATGAATGTATTCAAATGTAATTACAAGACCAACCCCTGGAGTTTCTTGCTCATTCTTTTCAAGGGAATCAGTCTTACGAATGAGCAGAAGAATTAAATCAATGGGACGATTTGAAGTGCAATTTGCTTACTTATGAAATAAAGATGGTTTGAGTTTCAAAAAGAAAACATTTATCTAACAACGCTTACGTGACTGTAACAGGTTGTTCAGATAAACACTGGTTACACAAAACCCTTATGTTTTCTTGCACACTTTGATATATGATTCAAGCTCGAAGAATAAGATACAAGAATTATAATATGAACTTACATGATCTACTTTCAACAATCTATCACCAGGTTTTATTCTAGAAGTATTATAAGCGGCACCACCAGGTCTCACGTGCGTCACTACCAGAGGCTGAGCATCCAAAGATCTGCTGTTTAACACCAGGTCAGCACTTGGAGCGGAGTTCTCCGGAAGTCCACCTCTGATCGTAATGCCTAATGAACCATTAATTTTCTCTACTGGTACTTCTGCTAACTTTGTCGTAATGTAGAGAGAGTTTTGTGATGCTGAAAACAAAATAAAACATTTTTCATTGAGTTGCATTTAGTAACAGCAATGCATAATCTACAAGATTAGTTGTTATTCATCGAACGCCTCCTGTATTGGCACTTTTATCATTAAATAAAAATCAAACAGGTCATGAACATCTAGTTTTAAATTGTTAGTCTTGAAATTTTATTATTAATATAAATAATTTTATAAATGTTTTCAAATTTTAGTTCCAAAATGTTAAATTTGTAGATAATTTTATATTATAGCTGTGTTAAAGGGTTACAATGTACTCTGTTATTACATAAATAAGTTTCACCAATAAAAATACCAACATTTATACATTGAAAAAGAAATGGATGACAAATAATTGGATTTTTGGCTCATTTGACAACAACATGATAAAATTCATTGCTTAAAATTGTTACTGCATCCATTATGCTTGTTGCTGCTCTGATAGACAAAGTTACAATATCACTTTAAACAACGTATTGTTTATTCAAATCTCTTTATTTTTACTCAGTATATCCACGTTATACGGTAGTACAATCGATTCTAAAATTTAAACAACAAAGTCCATCAATAAAGTCCATCGATAAAGTTAAATAATACATGCCAAAAAATCAAACGCATATGAATAAAATTAACGGTATTAAGAAATGATATAAATTGTATGTATTGACTACGTGTTGTTATTACGATAATTAGTAATTAGTACTTATTTGAAACGATCGAAATAGGAAGAGTATATTTACCAAAACATCAAGTAATACAAATAGAGTGGATACCTTCCCCTAAAATCTGGGATTTTTAATACGATTTATAATAAAAAACAAAAATCAAAACGAAATAGTTCTATTTTTACATAAAATCACCGAACTTTTATTCTAAGTGTACTGCGACGTAATAAGGTAATTGCTAGGTTCACATCAAACAAAGAGATTTTTGCAATTTATGTGTATTATTTCCATGAAGTTCAAACAAATCAGATTACATGTATCTAAACTTCAAGCAAATAATCCATACTATTCCGATATCTGCATGATAAATATATAATGATAAAGTAAAAGAAATTTATTATGCAAAAACAAATAATAATTACAAAAGTCAAATATCAGTACCAAAAGAGAAAACAGAAATTAACCAAGAAAATTTATATTATTTAGAATGATTCAATAAGTTTAATTTGATTGCTTGGAATTTGGCTAAGTCTAGAAACTTCAAAATTGATGAAAACTGACTTCCAGCGATGATGGCAAGTGTCTTTTTGAAACAATTGGATCCAATATTATTATTATTATCTACTTATTGGAATTTCAAGACCGCTCAGATGTATTTCAAATTAAGGTTATCGACAACCAAACACCAATGAAAGGAAATTGAGATATCCTACGCAATCATTACAATAGAAAGGACAATCATATTGAATATTAATTGAATCTTAGAATTTTGTCTATAAATTGAAGATCCGAAAAGACAGTTTTGTTTCCAATATGAATTAAAATCATTAAGCATATTGGCCATAAATACGTGTCTTTCGTAATTTCTTCGTTTATTCTTCACGCATTCTATAGATTTGAAATGGTTAAAGTATTATTTTTCTAAGTAGAAGCAAGAAACAGACTAGATAGGACGACATAACTGATAACAAGCTTTAAACCGTTTGAAATCGAGTTGCGCTCGATATAAGGAGCTCGTTAGGTTGTAAGAGTAAGGAGAATTTAAAAGCAAATCTTACCATAATTAGGCATATAGTATTCCACTTCCAAAGACGCTCGTTCTTCGACATTGTCGAGTAACCTGAGTACCTCATCATTTGTAAGCCTCGCTGTTGAGATACCGTTGACACTGCAGATCCTATCTCCTGGTGCCAGGCGATCTGACTCATGAGCTACTGAGTCTTTTGTGAAGCCCACGATTGATGGGACTATACCGGGCTCTGATCGACCTGTTGAAAAGGAAATCAATATTAATCTTGTTTCTATTGTTGATTTCTTTACTTCTCAGTTCTTTCATATATGTATAGCAACTAGTAATAAAGTAATAATCTATGGGTTTATTTAAAGAGATCATGGTGGTCATGTGAATAAAAAAACTTTTGTTGTAAGGTCCCGTCTGACACGAAAAGAAACAGCTGTGCTACACTTTGGTCAAGCAAGTACGAAGAAATTGCATATACTTGTACCAATGGGATGCTAGTTTTTAATGAAAGAAGAATATTCTTCTTTCATCTTTTTCTTCTTGAAAGATCTCTTTCACAGACACCTAGTTAGTCAAAAGGGTATTTTTTTTAACAATTTATAGGTATTAATAAAAAAAAAATCTGATATCAGAAAAACGATACAAGTATATGCAAATTAAATATAGTTTAACAGAATAATTCCGAATATTTCGCAATATTATCTTTGTTAAATAATTTTATTCTTCATCTACAACTTCAAAAATAGCACACCTTCTCTTTAACCTTCATAAACGTAGCGAAATACGTTTTTCTACCTAGTTGAAATAATTTTGCCTCGCTCTTCCTCGTCTACTCTTGTCTTTTACTTTTTTTCAATGAAGTTTCAGGTGTAATCATTATTTCACTTAACCTACCATAATTTTTTTCCATGGCTTTAAATCAATTTCTCCTGCCAGTTTTATTAGTTACGCGCCATTTTATCCTTTTTACTCTCTCAATTTTTATCCTTCTCCAGCAATAAATATCAAAATCTTTCAAATATGCCTTATATTCCTATGCATTAACAAAAGATTCACGATGTAACAAAGCCAAAATATATAAATAAATGAACATAACTTCGACATTACGTTTTTATGGGGTACCACTTAGCTTTATAGCATCTGACAATCCATATAACTTAGAGCGTCAAAGTGGATATTGTTCAGTGACTTTGTAGAAGAAGAGTTATAGCTCTTTTTTCAGTTTTGTAACGTAATTTGTTTTATGGGAGACGAGTTTGCTTTTGTAAGTTTTTGGTGATGCGAAGATCAAAACGTGTTAGCAACATTTTTATGGTCAGGTTTCTTTACAAAATATTTTCTTGATATAACTTATGAAATATGTATATATATACATATATATATATATACTCAGATCTTCAACAGAACAGGCTTTACACTTTGAACTTCGATCGTGTGTATCACAGAATTGAAATATTACCTAAGTATGAACGAAGATGTACTGCTGGCTGTTGTCAGTACTTTTTCCTAAGATTTTTTACTCAAGCCGTCAAACTTTACGTTAACGTTAATAAGAACTGTTTTACTAAATGAAATGTAATAAATCACTGGCTTGTTATTACATTGGATGAATAGGTGTAGTGTACGTCAAGTGTCATTGAAAATTTTGTGACGACCACGATTGCATATTGGTTCTCGGTACGACCAGCTTAGAAATGAATTTTCACAATTGATTATCCTGGTTAGAGCCACCGGAGGTAATTTCATTACTTTGGTACTTAATGTACAAGAAATTTCTAAGTTTCAATGTTCGTAATTAGTGTCAATTACATTATCACGATATTACTCAAAAGAGAGTGGACCAAACAGCGCTCCCTGTATGACTCCGTATCTTGTGATATTTTTAAAATATTTATGAATTAATAGTTTTTGGGATAAAAAACCAAAACCAAAGATACGCAATAATACAACTCGTAACTCTACAAAGTATTAGTGATTTGATATACTAAAATATATTGTATGGGTTGCCCAACAATGCCATAAAGCAAGTAGTTTCGAGCCTTCATAAAAGTATCTGAATGGATCGTAAATACGAAGTGGCACTTCCGCAGAGCGATCATAATTTGATAGTTTATATTAGTGTCAAAACATAAAATGTAAATAAAATTTTATGTAAACACCAATGAAAGGGGAACAATCGAACTAAACTTTTGCTGTTACGATGCTGTTTTAGTTTAAACTACAGAGAGCCGTTTTAAATCATGAAGACATGAAATATTGCAATTTGGACGAAAATTCATTATTTACATCACCATAATACGGATCCCGAATCGGAATATGTAAATAATACTATAAAGGGGACCATAGTTTTTTTTATAATACCAAGTGACGGGACGAACAAATTGTGCGCTTGGTGGAAAGCGTTACTTATGATAATTAAATAAGTAGTAGTAGAGTTCGCCCAGGGAAGTTCTGCCACCTTACCTATTTCTACCGCCAAGCACATTGACTTACAAATAAATGGACGACGGGTCTAATACAAAAACCACAAAAAAAATGTCCCAAGTCAACCTATTCGAAATTTAAATTGTAATGTCATCGCAGTATCGCGCTGTCAGTAGAACAAATGAAGACTAAAGCGGAGTGTCGCGCTCTGTATACGATTTTAGCGCCTTACAAGTGCGGACACTTTTTAGCGCGGACCCGACGTCCATATAATTGTAAGTCAATGGCCAAGCATTAATGTAAGAGTTTTGGAGGAATCACATTCACACGGGACTCAGGGTGCGTTGCCATTATGTCGTGACGACAGTAGTCATGCAGTTTGAACTATCGTGCCTTGTAAATTTAAATGAATTTATTCACATATAGTACAACATGATTAATTGTCGTCCACGGCTTTTTTGACGTACCACAACAGATTGTCCAGACTATGGGAAGAGCTAGAACTACCGTCGTCAGACGATAAATAGAACGTCAAGATAAAAATGTGACGATAGATAATCGCAGCTACAATTGTCGTCACGTTTTATTTATCGTTATCTCATATCTTTTTAACTGCCTCCGTGGCATGGTTACCATGCCGAACTACCACGTATAGGTTCCAGGTTCGATTCCCGGGCCGGGAGAAATAGTTGTATGGCCTACATTTATTTCTCTCGTGAGTTTGGGTGTAATTTGTAATTGTTTATGTGTGTGTCCATGGCACCCGCGACACAGGGTTTCCCTAATGCGGGGCTATGTTGAGTGTGTGCGTTGTTTATTTATTTATTTATATCTGCAAACGACAAGGCGGCTGCCGTGAAACGATAAATTGTCGTCACGATGTATTGGGAACAGCTAGACACGACAATCGTCCAACGATGAATGAAACGTTACGACATAATGGGAACTCGCCCTCAGGGTGACAAGTGCAGTGACAGTGCCCCTAAGATCTTTGCGATTTAAAGCTCTAAGCGGTACTGTAAATGTTGTGAACAGGCACGTCGCTTACCACGAGGCGCACGGTTTCTTCGTCTCTGATATATAGAAGAAGAGAATAGATTACGCTAAACTCAGTAGTTTAACACCATCTATAGCCTTAGCCAATGCATAAGTAGAAAGGATTTATGAAAGAACTGATTAATAACCTTAGAGCAGACTCCCCATTAGTTCGCGCACGACCAAGCTACAACAATGTAAGCGGTAACGAATTATTGACTCGAGAATTTATTGCAAACTTGATAAGGGTTAGACGGTTTGGTTTTTAGAACCAATTTAATGTAGACGAACGACCGCGTATTTTTTGGTGAACTTAAGCATACCCTGATAACTTGCAACTAGATTCATTCATTCAAAAACTAAATTTATTACAAAACGTCGTCTTACTTTCTCAAACTCGTATCTGATGATAATACAAATGTACATATATTCAAATTTTTCAGGCTGATTTTACATCATATTTCCTTCATATTCACGCACTGGCTTTTAACTATTCTTAAAGTAATGCATCCAAATCAACACCCTTGATAAGAAATTTAAAACAAATAGAAAGTTTTGCCATCTCCTGAATAATCACGCTTGCTTGACCTTGAGAAAGTAAGGCATCGAAATTTCAATCCACAACGTAGGCTTCATCAGGTAGATATAAAGATAAACCAGTAAGTAACAGGTCACATAAAAATCAATAACGCAATTTGGCAGACTTAGTCATTTTTATTTATAAAAAAGAAGAAGGATCGCTCTGAATCTTAGCTGGCTCAAACGTCCCCATAACACTGGCAGCATTACCGCGTTGAATGACCAACGAAATTTGTTGTACCAAGTAAGATCCAGAGTGTGGATCACAGCTTCTATCTCTAAGTCGACGACTGTACTAACTAAACTTCAAATTAAATCTAATGTACACTTTGTTGTAGACATAATAACAATCTAAGAGTCTAAAAGATCTTCAGTCGGCGTTTTAAATTTCACGACCTATTGAAGAAGTGGATCATATTAGACTGGTTTATAAATTCGGAGTATGAATAAGAGACTGAATTTTCTAATTAGTATAATAAATATGGAATTAGTGAGTAGGACTAATTCACGGCACTTTGGACTCTGAATGATAGTAATTGGGGTTAATTAGAAATATAAGACTAATAATTTTCATTGAAAATTATTAATTATTTTCTTGCGAAAGTATGATACCAAGTGGCGGGACGAACAGTCGTGAATCTGGTGTTGTAAGCAGTAGTTGTAGTGCCACTCCGATTTAAATCGCAAAGATGTAAGGTATTCTGCCACTGCGCCAGTCACCCTACGACATAAGCCCGACATGCCCGTAAGTTCATCAGCACAGGTAAGAACTTCCCTGGACGAACTCTTTCAAAGGAAGCTCTACTGGGAATTTGTGGCATAAAATTATTAATACATATTTTTGCTTTTATGTTGATGCTGAGCTGTAGGCTACCAACGGGGTCACAGGTGGTAGATAGTGAGCGACCACCAGATATGGTGGTTAGCTGCGAAAGGTGAATAAACAGTCCCCAACCAATCAGCGGCAGCTTTACCAGGACGTAGTGGGGAACCCAATGGAACGTGTTTGCCTATAAAATACTACAGAAGTCCTGTGACAACGACTGTGGCATAGCGAGGAAAAGCCGCCATTTTTAATAGCTTTCCTTTTCTTTAGGCAGATAAATGATTCTTTAGAAACGGCTTCTGACCGGATATCAGCAGACGACCGATTGGCCGGTGAACTGCAGTGCAGAAGGCAAGAGGGAAACCACTGCACAATATTTCCCA